TTTTTTTTTTTTTTTTTTTTTTTGTCACAGTATTTTCTAGAAGAAAAAGAAAAGATGTTCTGTATATTTCTATTGAGTTATAAAAACACAGAAAAAAGCTGTGGGAACACTTGCCTCTCGGCTGTTGTTCCCACAGCATTTCTCGTTCTCCCAAACTTCCACTCATATTTCTATAACTTGATGGAAACATGGAGTATGTTTTTTTTTATTTTTTCAGTATTTTGAACTTTTGCAGCTTTATTGTTGAAGTAGAAAGCTGCAGCTTTAATTTTGCCATCTATACCTAAAGAATCAGACAAAAAAACATGTTAGCATGATAACATGTTAGCATGCTACATCCTAATATTTTGTTATGTTAACATGCTGCATGCTAAGATGTTAGCATGTTAGCCTGCTAGCATGCGTTGTTGAGATGTGTTCTTGTTGTCTCGTGTGCTATAAATTCCACTTTCACACCAGTGACATAACAACATAAATTTAAACAGAAAGGTCACAAACCTAAGACACCTTATGCTAACGTGCTTGTATGCCACATGTATATGCTAACATGATAGCATGCTAGCATACTACTTCCTAACATGTTAGTACGCTGACATGTTAGCATGTTAGCATGTTATGCATGTTATGATGTAGGATTCTATTATGTTAGCATGTTAACATGCTCACATGATAACATGTTAGCCTGCTACATGCTAGCAGGCTCACATGTTAGCATGCTATATGCTAGCATGTTAGCATAATAACATCTTAGCATGTAGCATGCTAACATGCTACATGTTAGCATGTTACCATACTAACATGTTAGCTTGCTGCATGCTAATATGTTAGCATGCTATATGCTAACATGTTAGCATGCTACTATATGCTTACCTGTTAGTATGCTAACATGCTAACATGTCAGCATGCGAACATAGGAACGTCAGCCTGCTAGCATGTTACCATGTTAGCATGCTATGTGCAAACATGCTAACATATTAACATGTAGCATCTTAGCATGCTAACATGCTAGCAAGTTAGCATGCTACATTGTAAATGCTAACGTGTTAGACTGCTAACCTGATAGCATTTTAGCATACTGACATGTTAGCATGTAAGCATGCTAACATTTTAGCACGTAGCATGCTAACATGTTAGCGAGACAGACAACTAACATTCTAACATGTATGCCTGTTAGCATACTAACATGTTAGCATGCTACATGCTAATATGTTAGCATGCTGTAATTATGCTACATGTCAGCATGCTACATGCTAACATTTTAGGAAGTTAACATGCTAACGTGGTAGCATGTCAGCAATGATGTCAGCGTGGTAAAATGCTAACATGTTAGCAAGTTAACATGCTACATGCTAACATGTTAGCATGTAGCAGGTTAACTTACTAACATGCTAACATATTATTAGGTAGCATACTATCACCTTGGCATGTTAGCATGCTAACATGTCAGCAAGTTCAGTTCCATGCTACATGCGAACACGTTAGCATGGAATATACATGGTAACATATCAGCATGTAGCATTCTAACACCTTAGCATGTTACCATGCCAAAATTTTAACAAGTTACCATGCTACATGCTAACTTGTTAGCAAAGTCTCTGGAAATGTCTTGGTTTGAAATTCAAAAATCGTACTCGTACTCAATATCGTACTCCTAGTCCAATCTACAGGTTAAAACAACGTGTTTGTACATATAGTCATTTCATAAGTCTAATCTCTCAGCAAGCCAGAGACAAACTCCATAGTTAAGCTTATTTCGTCTGTCTTTCTAATATTACCCTTTTTTAAGCTATGATCTTTTATCATACAAATATAATTATGGAAAATTTTTCCACCAGGAAGGAGACCGTGTCTATGTATGCGGCAGCTTAACAGGGACATATGCAGAGTTTGCTTTGTGTAATGCCAGCAGTGTTCACCTCATGCCAGACAGTGTTTCCTTCAGCCAAGGAGCAGCCATTTATGTACCTTACTACACAGCATACAGAGCATTATTCCAAAGGTGTGGTATACAGTAGTTAACCTTATAAAAAGAAATAAGTCTACTGTTGCGGTCACAAATAATGTTATGTAAGAAAGGGCTAAAGTGAGTATGTACATACTACTTGTGTGCATTGTTTGGTTTAAACAAATTACTGCTAAACCACTGACGAGCCTGTTAGGGAAACAACTAGTTTTGTTACCGCAGCGTTCTCTTACATTAAATATTAATGAAAATGCTGTAATTCCAGAATCTTATCGTTATAGTAACTCACACCGGGTCTCTTACACGCAGGCTACATGCCAAGGCTGGAGAGACGGTGCTAATACATGGAGCTAGTGGCGGAGTACGTACTGAAAATTATTAAGCTTTTTATAGCACACATGAGAGGTGTTCTGCATACAGTAACAGACATGTACAGTGTGCAATTATTCTGCAGTTGCTAAGTTCTACGTGCTTTTACTACACTTTTAATGTACTTTAAAAAACTAATTTCGTAGGAGTAAAGAAACGCTAATATCAAAAGTTTCTATGCACACAAGGATTAACTAAGCCTGATTAATTTATTGCTAGTGGCTATTGTGATCATGATGCTAGAAAAATAGTTTTATTTAAGTCATGCCTTAGATGATCAATGATACGTGCATGAAGAAAAACCAGAATATATATTTTATAGTTGTATTTTTATTAAGATTATTTGAAGTGAGAATTTTAAAATCAGTAGGGGAACATTTATCAATTGTTGTTACCGCTGGTCTTTTAGGTTGGCTTAGCTGCAGTGCAACTAGCCAAAGCTTATGGAATGAAGGTTCTGGGAACGGCAGGAACTGCTGAAGGTGAAGAGGTAGTGAAACAAGCTGGGGCTTCACAAGTGTTTAATCACAGACAAGATGGATACGTTCAGAATATTCTGGTACTGAGTTTAAAGTTGTACCTAATAGGCACATAATTACGTGCTACCTATACACGTCTTGTTTTATGGAGGAGTATAGTTTTTTTTTGCACTGATATGGCATGGTGCTGATTACTGATAGTGAAAGACATGATAAATATTGATAATTTTACAAAATGCTAGTAAGCCAGTTGTGTTATAGAAATGCATGTGCATTCTGCAAATAGCTTTTCACCTCCTGGTATTTTGTCTATAACATACATGTATTGTGTATATAAGTCTCATTTTCTCAAAGTTATACTTGTCAGTCATACATCTGCATGTCATTATAAATTGCAAATGATATTTTATTGTTTATTTTTTCAGGATGCAACTGACGCTCGTGGTGCAGATGTCATCGTAGAAATGTTAGCAAATGCCAGTTTATCGAAAGATCTCAAGCTTGTGGCAAACAAGGGGCGCATAGGGGTAATTGACCATTTCCGTATTCTCGGTATCAGATTGGAGTGTCCAGAACTGGCTTGCAATGGCGCTAATGCGAGGGAATATCATTAAAAAGAGATTAAGACGAAATCTGATAGAAAATCGAGCAATTTTAGTTTTTAGTGGACAAAAATCTGGTACCAGAGAATAATTTTAAGTATTTTACAGTACTGTTTACATTTTCGTAAAGCTAAAGATATTAATAGTTGCCTGAAATAAGACCGAAAACAATTTCCCATAGGAACGAGAGAAAAGAAATTTCAAAGTTCAGAGAAACTGTGCAAACGCAGGTAAAATTTCATCCTCCGTTTCATTTCACCAGTACTTTCAAGTGTTTCGTACAAAGTTCAACATTTGTTTTCGACATTTGGTGTTGCTAGAAATGATTTTTTTTTTTTGAGACGATATTTAAAACAGTCGTACAGAAGTTTGCAATACGATGTAAATAACCTTGGTACTAGGTTTTTGTCCACTTGTTGCTCGAACTTCTGGTGGATTCCGTCTTAATGCCATTTGCTTTTGAAAAGACTCGCCGAATTAGCCTCAGCAAAAAGGATTTAATTTGCTCATCTTAAACGCCTTTTAGTGTTAGGTTTTACCGCCTGACAAGTCAGTGATATAACAAATCTGGTTACAATGAACAACAACAAACATACCATTGAAATGTTAAAATTAAAAGAAAAAAAAAATTATGTCTAACAGTCGTCTGGCTCCGAGGCTTATTGGAATGAAACAGAATAACTTATCCATTCATTCCACAACCTCAACATGACTAGTTTTGTTTTATTCCCTAAGCCTCAGAGCCAAGTTTGAATTTTAATGTATAGAATAGCCTCTTATACAAATGTGCAGATTTTGATAAAGCTTATATGTGATGTGGTATTTAACGGTATGAAACATTAAAATTTTTCAGGTTGTCGGTAATAGAGGAACGATTGAAATAAATCCAAGAGAAACCATGGCCAAGGAGTCTAACATCATTGGTGTTATGTTAGGCCAAGCTAGTGAGGTACACAACTGGAAGCATATAGTAACATATATATTTCTCAAATTCTCTGATGGATGAGATAAGTGAAGTTACGGGTTGTTAGATCACCCGGCTAATCATGATTTTGCCCAGTGGGTTACAGTAGCACACGGCCCGCGAAAGAGACCAATCACAGTGTGCGTAGTAACCGAGATATATAGTAAAGTAACATTATAATATTTCAGGACAAGGACCTAGTTTATATATTATTCCATCCAAAACTAGTTTATAAATTTACTGTGGAATTATACAGCGGTTTACCGCCTAGAGTAGCAGAAAATTGTTTTCTTCAATTTACCCTCTGTGCTGTTTTAAAAGCTGTGAACTGAATTTTATAGGGTGAGCGCCACGAAATGACGTATGCAATATCAGCCGGGCTGCAGGCAGGTTTTCTGAGTCCAGTTGTTGGACATGAATATCAGCTGAGCCAAGCTTCAGATGCACACAGAGATATTATAGAAGGCAAAGGTGCAAAAGGAAAGTTGGTGTTGCTGCCACAGTAGAATAATTGTATGTGTGTTTCTAATGTATGAATACCCTATGTTTTTAATGTGGTGCATTAAAATGAAATGACACAATAAACAACTGAGGAAAAGGCCGTGTTACATTTTGTGATTAACATGTAATCTGGGCGATATATAAGAACTCTGATAATTAGGATGTGTTGTCGTAATCAACTTTGTATGGTTTATAGATCTTTGGATGCATGGATATTCTAAAGTAATGCATATGCTGCTATAGAAACGTCCATAGTTAGTTTTGGAAACAAATCAAACTTAACATGGTTTTATTTAACACTTGAAAGTAGTGTGGTTTTGTTCCTAATTGTATTTTTTTTCCTTTCTAACGTTTTGGAAACGTACTAAAACTACGTAACAACTTATGCAATGATAATGTTTCTTGTAATGGGTACATCAAAACGTATTTATTTGAATAAAGTTTTAAACACGGTCACCCTAAACTAATTTTTCCGTCAAATTATTTGGTTAAGTGATTTTTTTTATCCTCACGAATAGATTGTGAAGGTTTTCTCTAAATGTTTCATTTACATGAATAATTTTCTCGTCATCAAATACACCATGATACGCAGTGCAGTTAAGATTTATGTGAGATGTTGCATCCCGTCCTTTTTGAATCACACACAAAATGAACTGTAGTAATGGTAACTTTATTAGACACTGAATTTTAAATCAGTTTTAGGTAACCAATTATGTTACAACTAAGGTGAAAGATGTAAAAGTTATATAAATAAATAAATTACGCAAAGGAGAGTAATGCTGGAGAGGAGAGTGGAAAGGAGAGTGGAATGCTGGGGACGATGACGAAGTCAGGTCATGTAAGAGGGAGAAGTGTCTTTATAAAATTATACCTGTGCTGATCAACTTTGATCAACGGCTTATGGTGCGAATTTGGCCCAATTTAAATAAGCCAAATTTAACAACCGAGAAGTAACGACTCCTTGAAATTAGTGACAGGAAACGGCTGCTAACCCCAAAAGTTTAAATGGGGTCATTACTTTCAAAAGTACGTTTCACGTTATGTGGCGAGAACCTTACTGTTGGCTGTATCATCTTTCCTAGTTTGTGTTACAAGCTTAGATAGTAACCGTCAATCTAGACTGCTAGCAGTCTTGTTTTCTCCCGAACTTCAGCGGGGGTTATGTAGTGATTTCCGTACTCGGCCATACCGCCCTTTTGCGTTCGCGATCGCCAAACACTCGTCCAAGGGACCCTAAGAGAAACGGCCGGCTACCAGCAGTCGGCTGTCAATCAGCCCCATCCTCTCCGTGCCTAACCACCCCTAACGTCGCAGAGAGGTTTTGAAATTAGCTCCAGATTAGGAAGGTCAAGAAGTCTGAAAAGGTGATACCTTAGGCAGAAAGATTTAGCTGGGAAGGATGCTTTTGCGTTTTAAAGTCTCGTGATTAGTTGAGACCAACATTGGAAGCTGTCTCCGTCAAATGGCTGATTATACTGACATGGATGCAAAGAAACACTCGAACCATTATTGTAGCGACAAAATCAACAAAATTTCATTCGCTGTTTCCGTGATTTCGCTGGTTCTCGCTGCTTTGTTGTTTGTGGAAGTTGATATCGTGAACAGGAAGGCGGAATCGATGGAAACAAAGCTTCAAAACCGCGTTCAGCGGATGGAGGATGACACGGAAGCTAAACTGCAGAGAATGGTGCAAGAAACGTTACAATCAAGTGCAATACATGCAATACCTACTACAAGAAAGAGTACAAGAAGGAACGACGCAATCTCTGGTGGGTTTGGTTGAATATGCTATATTAAGTGTGTTAGTTTAAGACTGCTACGTAGGTAAGATAAATAAATCCCTTTCATGTTGAAAGAGGCAGAATCACTTATTCTTATACAAGTCGAGTCACCTTAGCTTGAATGATATTACGAAGTATAATAAACTTTGTAATAAGATTCTGTCATTTGAAACCCCGCAGTCCTGCCATTAACCCTTTGTACTGAACAAGCCGCTTCGCATCCCTCCCCTCGAGGACATGAAATTTCTCTAAAATCGTGCCATGAGAATAGAAAATATGTTGCGAAACTCCTCGCAAATGATAAATAATCTCTTGAATACTACTGGAAAATGTTTTTACTGCCCGAAGCCAGAAGACGGACAAAAAAGTACGGATGAAATATACCGCCGTACATGCGCTGGAGAGTGTAACAGGCCCGTCATTCAACAAATCTCAATATCACTTAATATGTAATTGGTGCTTACGTTTAAGCACGGACCAAATTAACAGTTTATTGTGCTGTCGTCTTCATTCTCAATCATAAAGTCTCGAGCAAATGTCTCAATTACCTCAAATTTAACGGTGTTTATCTTGCACGGTACAGACGCTATCAACAACTTCGAGGGAGTTCCTGGACATCGCCACAAAAACAGAAGAAGTGTCGCTCAGACACCAAATGCACCAACAGTATCTTTGCAGCAAGTCCGCCAGGAAGTTGACAAGAAGTTGAGCCACGTTTGCACCGCCAAAGACAAGCTTTGTCAAGTAGGACCCCAGGGTCCCCCGGGGGATCCCGATGTCCACGGATATCCCGGATACAAGGGAGAGAAAGGGGTCCCTGGGATAACTGGCCCGCAGGGTCCCTTGGGTCCTGCTGGAGCTCAAGGTCCAAGTGGAAAGCAGGGGCGTCAAGGACCACAGGGAATTAAGGGTGAAAAGGGCCAGAAAGGCTCTGTGGGTCCTCCTGGAGTAAAAGGAGATGTTGGAGCGATGGGCCGTCCAGGAGAAAAAGGCTCCATTGGCTTCAAAGGGGATAAAGGCAACAGGGGCGCTATGGGTCTTCGAGGCCCAAAAGGACAACTTGTTGTTTCACCCAAGATAAGGATCTTTCCAGTGTCCCAGGAAGTCTCTATCAATCAATCAGCAGTATTTTACTGTTGGGTTGATGGTCACACGACATTGAAGACAACATGGCGTAAGCTTGGAGGTGCTTCAATTGACGAAGTGAAAAATAGCGACGTCCTTCATATTGAAAACGTTAAACGATCACATGCTGGATCGTACTCGTGCTCGGTGCTCACTGGTTACGGAATTTTCAGAGCTATCAGCACTTTGGAAATCAGAGGTACGAAAAAATGCTTCCAGTGTGCTCAAATGTTGTCAAATGGTTTTTCCTTTACTACTTGCTTTACGATTTGCCCACACCAGTATGACTTTATCGACCGACAACTGTCTGTGTTGCTGACTGACTGACTGACTGACTGACTGACTGACTGACGGACGGACGGACGGACGGACGGACGGACGGACTGACGTACTAGTTAGCAAAGCAAGTAAGTGAAATACCTGTTACAAGCAGACAGTCATAGCGCCCTGGAAATTTTAGGTAAATTATTTACATATTTTTATCTTTGTATTAAACAAACACTAATTTATGTAATTTCATTGTGCAACACAAGAGAAATGACGGTTAACTGTTGTTGTTGCTGTTACGTATGCTATTGCTGTTGCTCGTGGACTTTGTCACTGTTATTGTTACTCTTACTGTTTAATCGACTGACTGGCTAGTCGGTGGATGGCAATTGGCTGGTTGTTTGATTTAGCTGCTATTGTTGAGATTGCCGCGAGGAAGTATAGAAATCAGTTGGAAGGTTTTTCATTGTTTTATCCTCCCGTGACGCACATTTTACAGAAATGGGTCTTTTCGATAATGGCAACGAAGTTGATGAGTTCTTGCAGCAATTGGTAACGTACTAATAATACTTAATGACAAAATAAAGCATTAAATACGTAGTCTTTTTTTGTAGAGCCGCCGATATTTACGAAGAAACCTCCTTCACAAGTTTTCGCGGATCTGGGATCCACTTTGACCCTCTGTTGTGAGGCTGAAGGTTCAGTGTCGTGGACACGTGAAGAACGGTCCCTGAAATTATTGTCTGCTTTTCAACAACATGGATGCCTTACCGTCAGCAGTGTGAATGAAGAAAGTGCTGGAAAATATACTTGCCGTACAACAAACAACTTTGGATTCTCAGAGTNCTTTATAAGTCAAGACTTAATATTTGTCAAGGAGATTTATTAGGGCCAAACGTCGGGGAAATATGGAACTTTAATATAAGCCTTTCATAGTTTCTATATTTCAATTTGGTCATCTATGATTTTAAAATAAATGTTGTCGTTGTCATCTTTGTTGCTTTCGCTGTTATTGTCGCTGTTTTTATTGTCGAGGCTAGGAGACCTATCTCTGAGATTTACTTCTTCATACTCCATGTTTAAGAAAGCCATGTAAATTGAAAGTTATCATTTTTTCCTTACCGAAAATAACCCTTCTGATATGTGAAACCGCTCTGCATCTCTCTCCTAATCAGGCATACTGTGATGTTCTGGGCTGGACGTTGATTGCTCGATTCTCAAATAAGGACCACAAACATTGGATGGATGTCCAAGGAACTTGGTGGTATGATCGTCATGCCGCTGTTGGAAACACAACTGATCCGACTGTTAACGCTGACATGATCTCGCCGGCGTTTTGGTTGACCAGCGGCAGAGAGTTGAAGATTACGCGTAGTGATGACCCTACTCACACTCCTGTTTGGCTGGAAAAACATTCCGATCAAAAATCACAAGCTACGGTGATTTTAGAAATGGAAAAGTTTGGTCCAATTACCGGTGTCGGGGTAGTTGCGTGGTTACCTTTGGTGGTGAGTACCAGTATACCGAAGGGTTTTGCACAGGTCATTGCAATGGAAACCTTCAAAACGCCAACAGGATCGGCTTCTGGTGTGACGGGTATGCTGGATCAGTGATGATGATTGGTGGAGGTGGGACGGGTGGTGGAACTGGTTGTTCAGGAGCTGATCACGGGATTGGAATAACAGAAACTAATGATGCTTCTTTTATTGAGCTAAGAAACGGCTACGAAGCTGAATATGACTTTGGTTATGACGCTTTGACAAAAAGCACACCAACCAGCTACTACTCATTAAACCTTTGGATTCGTTGAGTAAGATCAGTTGCAACTGCATATCATTTAAGAAGTTTCGTTTTTGGATTATAAGTTTAAAAAGTAACTCAACTTCATTAGGATCCAAAGAAGAACTTTAATTCTGAAAACGTTGTTTGTGCCTTAGCCGTTTCCCTCCTTTAGATAACTATAAAGTGGGTCTGTGATGTTTTCTCTAACCTCGAAATTCGTAAAGTCGCTGCAGTGTTGCTGCAGGAGACTTCGCGCGGTACAATAGATCTTGTGATATGGGGATTTTAGGGGCAATCAGTGTGGTATTTAATGAATCTGGACATTATATTACTGTGAAATAAGTGATTTAAAAGAAGTAACTTGTATAGATTAACTTGCAACGTACGATGTTTTGATCAGTGGCATATACACGCGCAAAAGGGATATCGTCTTGCCAAACAAAAGGAACTTTGTAATCTACATAAAAAAGGAACTTTTTTTCCCAAAAGGAGAGAAAATTCCTTGCTTGGGAATACCAATGTGGTCGCTTTGACGTCATCATGATGTGGAAACACTATGTAATGTTTCAATTGACAAATGAGGCTTCTTACTCTCAAGTGAATTATATACTTCGTAGCTAAAAGTAATTTCTGATGTTGTAAGTAAGGTTTCTTTCAGTTTTGTTTTCGCTCATTAAAGTCGTGGTGAACCATTTATTACTTAGGACCGTCCACACTACGCCGGAGAAATTTGGAACCAGAGTTTATTCTCGCAAAACGCACCAAATTTTTTCCGTCCGCACTACGCTGGAGAAATTTGAAAACGTAGCAATCACCGGCGACAGAAAAGCTCGACTGCAGCCTCGCTTGCTTGGGTTTATCACATGACTATCATGACGTCATCGTTTTTTTCAATGTTTCCCGTTCATACCAAAACGCAAAGCCGGCGTTTTCAAATTCCTCTGGTTTTAAGAGCGTTTTCGAGAAGCTCCGTTTTCGTGACGGATTAGTGTGGACGGTAGGCCAAACTGTAAACTTGTTGTCTTCGATAAATAGTAGTAGCAACAGATACGACAGGTTAACGTTAGTTTGAGGAATGACTTGATTCGGAAACCTTATGAATACTAAAGAATACGCTGTCGCCGGTGACGTATGTTTAAACGTAAATTAAGTTTTGGGCGTGTTTCACGCTTGGCCGAAAAGCTCAGTTTGTATTAAATTTAAGTTTCTGGATAGGGTGATTATTTTTAAATCATTGGTAAACGAACTATGACCATTTTCGTGACAAAAAAAGGTTACCATACCAACTTCATGACCCGTTAAAAATACCCTTGTTTCACTTATGCTGATAACTAAGAAACGAACGGTTAAATCCTGAATTTTAAACTTTGTGGATAGTTTAACATTGACATGCTGATTACAATTATGATGGTCACTGAATTCTTTCGAGTGATAAAATCATAAGTGTTTTATTCGGTCATACCGTTGCCATGGCAATGTTTTTGTCACGCCAGCTGCAAAGTTAAAGCCTGAAAAGTCGATAATGTTTAAGGTTACGGGTAAATGTCGAACTTTTTCACGAGTCTAAACTAGTGCAATGGTTTGCATTTACAAAAAACAAATTATTGCAAATGACAGTTGCATTATGACCCGATAGTGTTTGGAACAGTAAAGGCGTTTTTTACATTAGCCATGTTGTAGATGCCGATGTCGATGTGCTGTTAATGCTAGTGGTTCTCTTGGAAGATGCGGGTGGTCTTCTTTGCCCATTGTTCGGTCTAAAAGTTGTTCATTCTTTAGCTGTGACACCCATCGGCGCGGCGAGCAGAATCAAGGGCTCAAGAGCCCTGGTGCCGAGAACGTACCAAGACTTGTGGGTAAGGATAGTGGACGAAACGAAAGCAGTGTAAATCATGAACTACGATTGTTTTGGAAGTGTTAAATAGAGTTTGAGAGAGTTTCTTCTTTCGGGCGGAATCTGTTTCGGGCGAGAGGGAATCGAGAGACCTCGCACTGTCTCTAACTTTGAGGCGATGAAGGCGATTCGCGTATCGTCGTTCGGTGGGCCCGAAGTACTCAAACTTGTCTCAGATGTTCCCATTCCTAGTGTATCTATTGGACAGGTAAGAATTCATTTTTATCTTTCTCCTAAATTTGTCTTTGTTAACATAAAAAGAGAACATTAAAAGCATGGTTCTTCGTTCACTGTTCGTTTAATAACCTTCTCAGAGACGGAGAGGAATGGACGTTGGGAGTGGNCACAGGTCATTGCAATGGAAACCTTCAAAACGCCAACAGGATCGGCTTCTGGTGTGACGGGTATGCTGGATCAGTGATGATGATTGGTGGAGGTGGGACGGGTGGTGGAACTGGTTGTTCAGGAGCTGATCACGGGATTGGAATAACAGAAACTAATGATGCTTCTTTTATTGAGCTAAGAAACGGCTACGAAGCTGAATATGACTTTGGTTATGACGCTTTGACAAAAAGCACACCAACCAGCTACTACTCATTAAACCTTTGGATTCGCTCAGTAAGAGCAGTTGCAACTGCATGTCATTTTTAATTTTCGTTTTGGATTTTATTACATCCATTTTGAAATCACTGGTTATCCTTGCAATCTGATTGGCTCTCAGTGATGCGAATGAATGAGTTTTCGTCACATGACATCGTTTTGCATACTAAATGAGACGTAAAGGCGTTTCCGGCTACTGGAACAATACACCAAAAATCTAAAATTTAAGACGATAAAATTGTACGATTTCAAAAGGGATCTAATAAAGTGGCAATTGAACTTCGTGTCGCGCAATTTTAGTCTGAAATCATACTTGTGATTTCAGATCACGCGTATGATTTCAGACCAAATTGCACTCCACTCAGTTCAATTACCATTACATATCAACAAAAATAACTCAATTTCATCACGTAGGATCCAAAAAGAACTTTAATTCTGAAAACGTTGCTTTTGCCTTAGTCGTTTCGCCCCGTTAGATAACTATACAGTGGCTCAGTATGGTATTAAATGAATCAGGACATAACTGTGAAAGAAGTGATTTAAAAGAAACATTTTACAATAACTGTCTAATTTCTCGCGTGCTGATTGGCTCATTTTTATCATCAACAAGAGTACGGACGGATAAAATTTTAATTTAAATTAATAACTGTCAACTTTTCAACCAATAAGATTTTATGGACTTTTTCAAGTAGCCAATCAAAAAGCGAGAAAAGCTATTGACGATGTTCACGTCATTTTGAAAAGAATGAACTTATCTTTGTTAACGACAAGTTTACGGCGTCTTTTCCCTCCATTTATTCCCAGCATTTGACCGTTTTGGGGTCTTATTATTGTAAAAAACAAATTGACGTCAGTTTTTTTATGCGTCTGTCCTCTTATTGATCATAAATTTCGTCATAACTTTGTCAAAGTTTAGTGCGGGACCATTCGCCTGCGGCTCGTGGTTCCACAGCCATTTTGTCAATGTTATGACCCAATTTATCATCAATAAGAGGACAGACGCAGAAAAAAACTGACGTTAATAAGTTAAACTTATATAGATTAATTTGTAACAAAAGATGTTTTTATAAAAGGAAGTTTCTAATCTACATAAGGAAGGAACTTATTTCCCAAAAGGAGAGAAATGTCATTGCTTGGGAATATCAATATGGTCGCCTTGACGTCATGTGGAAACGCTGCATAATGTTTCAATTGATAAATGATTCAAAACAAGTTACATGTGTTATTACACTCTTGTAAATTGTATAGCGAAAAGTAATTTGTGATATTGTGAGTAAGGTTACTTTTAGTTTAGCTTTTTCTCACGTTAAATTCGTGATGAACCAGTTATTACTTAAACCCCATCCACACTACGCCCGAGAAATTTGTAAACGGAGTTTTAACTCCGAAAACGAATCAAACGTTTTCCGTCCACACTACGTTGGAGGAATTTGAAAACGCAACAACCACTGGCGACAGAAAAGCTTGGGTGCAGCCTCACTTGTTTGGGTTAATCACATGATTATTAAGACGCCATCGTTGTTTGAAAACCTGCTTTTTCAAAATGTTTCCCGTTCACACTAAAACGCAAAGCTGGTGTTTTCAAATTCCTCTGGTTTTAAGAGCGTTTTCGAAAAGCTCCGTTTTTGTGACGGATTAGTGTGGACGGTAGGCCTAACCGTAGTTTCAAATTTCGTCCTCGTAGTATGGACGGGGCCTTAAAGAAGATTCAGAAAGGAAACTTGTTGTCTTCAATAAATAGTAGTAACAACAGATATGACAGGTTAACGTTAGTTTGGGAAATGACTTGACTCGGAAATCTTATGAATGATAAGAAATACGCCGGTGACGTATGTTTAAGCGTTAATTAAGTTTTGGGCGTGTTTCACGCTTGGCCGTATAGTCCAGTTTGTATTAAATTTAAGTTTCTTGTTACTAATGATAGAGTGATTATTTTTAAGTCATTGATAAACGAACTATGCCCATTTTCGTGACAAAAAACGCTACCATACCAACTTCATGACCCGTTAAAAATACTCTTATTTCAGCTATGCTTATAACTAAGAAACGAACGGTTAAATCCTGACTTTTAAACTTTGCGGATAGTTTAACATTGACATGCTGATTAGAATTATGGTTACTGAATTCTTTCGAGTTATAAAATCATGAGTGACGGTTTTATTCGGTCATACCGTTGCCATGTCAATGTTTGGCCCGTTTTTTTCTTATCACATCAGCTGCGAAATTAAAGCCTGAAAAGTCGATAATGGTTAAGGTTACGGGTAAACGTCGAACTTTTTCATGAGTCTAAACTAGTGCAATGGTTTGCAAATTACAGTTTCATCATGACCCATAGTTTTTGGAACAGTGAAGGCGCTTTTTGCATAAACCATGTTACCGGATGCTGATGTCGATGTGCTGTTAGTGCTAGTGGTCGTCTTAGAAGTTGTGGGCGGTCTTCTTTCGCCATCCCTCGTTCCAATAGTACCATCCAATTGCTTGGTTCATTCCTTAGCTGTAACATCCACCACAAAACCCATCGGCGCGGCGAGCAGAATCAAGGGCTCAAGAGCCCTGGTGCCGAGAATTTACCAAGACTTGTGGGTACTGAAGGATAGTGGACGAAGAGAAAGCGGTGTAAATCATGAGCTACGATTGTTTTGGAAGTGTTAAATAGAGTTTGAGAGGGTTTCTTCTTTCGGGCGGAATCTGTTTTCAGCGAGAGGGAATCGAGAGACCTCGCACTGTATCTAACTTTGATGCGATGAAGGCGATTCGCGTGTCGTCGTTCGGTGGGCCCGAAGTACTCAAACTTGTCTCAGATGTTCCCATTCCTAGTGTATCTATTGGACGGGTAAGCATTTTATTTTTATCTTTCTCCTAAATTTGTCTTTGTTAACATAAAAAAAGAACATTAAAAGCATGGTTTCTTCGTTCACTGTTCGTTTAATAACCTTCTCAGAGACGGAGAGGAATGGACGTTGGGAGTGGTTGGTGGACCTCAATGTTGTAGTACATAGAGAGTCAAGAGCCAGTCTATGTGTTACCACAACTGGGAAATTTTTATTACTTCATGACTGTCTAACATCTTGGAAAATTTAGTATTAAATTTGTGAAGTTTATAGATTACAATAGGATTGCTTTTATTTCTTTCTCTTGTTATATTTAACTGTAGGTACTGGTTAAAATGGGGGCAGCTGGTGTGAATCCCGTGGACACATATATCGCAACTGGAAAGTATGCTATTAAACCAGTATTTCCCTACACACCAGGATCTGATGGTGCTGGGGTGGTACACAGTGTGGGCGAGAATGTTACAAACGTTAAAGTGAGTTACAAGACATTAAGTGCAAAGTCTTGGCAATAACAGAGTAAAAATCATAAAAAATGAAATATTGAAGTGTCCAGCATTGAATTATGTACTGTAGAAGCTGACCTGAACTTTAAACAATTATTACTGGTTGATGTTTTTCTTGATATTCAGAATAATAAAAGATGACCTCAATGTTATCAATGAAGCCTGATCAATGAAAGGCTCAGAAGATGTGAACACTTACCATCAGACCATGATGATATTCTGGATATCACGAAAACCTGAATTCAATGATTGTTTTTAATGATACTTTGTCGGAGAAAACTCAGAACATAAGGTTTGCTTACAAGTTATGAGCAAAACCAATTTAATTAGTCTACTAAAACTTTTGTATAAATTCCTCACTTTTTGCAAATTATGCATCAACTTTCATGTTCAGATATTTTTAAATACTTTCTTTGCTACTTCCATGGATGTTATATATATATAATTGGCAAACATCTACATTTTCCACATTTTGCACATGTAGTCATATTGTGACTGAGACAGAACAAAACCTAATGCAGCTGTTAGACCAAGCTCAAGAGGGGGCACTGATCACCCCTAGCTGTACAGATGTCGCTATGTGAAGATGCATGTTTGACATAGTCACCTCTTAATATGGTCATCTCATTATTTTGGCCAGTCTTTCTTGTCTCAGCAAAATGCCCGTATATTTTCATATAAGAAAACCCTGTTAATGCAACCACTCTGTCAATACGGCCAACGGCCACATTCTAAAATCCCAACCTGTATAAATTCTTTATAATTTTTTACCCTGTTTATACTCCCGCTCTAACCAGTTATGTTCATCTTTTCATTGTTTATACAGTCTGTAATGTTGTATTTACTGATTGAAGTTTCAATTTTTTTAAGTTTTATATCTGCATTCTGGGTGCTTGTTAAAAGAACAGTTGTTTAGAGGTGCAATTTTGATATGTCTGTTAAGATGTCACTCAAGTTAGACCAATTGTGAATTTCGCTTAACCCCATTAATACGGCCACCCCATTAATACGGCCAAATTTTTATGGCCCGTTGGTGACCATATTAATGGGGTTTCACTGTATCCACAGCTCATAGACTCGCATCTATAATAATAATATTGATTGTGCAACTTGTATTTCTTTAGTACATCAGAAGTTAATTTTTGGTTAAGTATTGTGGACTGATTTTTC